CATTACCTTTTTGCACATCTTCAGTAGGTTGTGTATTCATGTATTCAAATTGAAGTTGATCATGTTGACAAACAGTTCTGGAAACGAATATGGCGAGAATAAAAATATGGAAACTAAATTCCTACAATAACAAAAGATGTTGGGCTCATAGCCCAATACCTAAAAAAACAGTTAATTTATATTAAAAACACATTTAAATTGAAACGAAGAACAATATTGTTAATTTATTTAAGGTGTTATTTATTTAATCTAAAAGAAAAGGAAACAGAAAGTAACAGGCAATGCGATCGTCACATCATGAACATGATGAAACATTTTCACATTAGAAACAAATGCACAATTGATTTTCCTTGCAATTGGTTGAGTTTGTTTTTGACATGCCTTTATTAAACTCAATTCATAAATACCTCAGTTTAGCTATTCCTATTGGTCGAGAGCCCGTCACGTGGCCGGTTTTAAACGGATGATAAAGACATGGCTAGCTGGTCTTAAACACTTTTCCAGTGTCACAATAAAATGTGGACTCCTAAAAATCCAGTGCCTCTTACCGTTTTATTGGTTGAACGTTCACAGTCCTCACGTAGGCATGCGCAACACTACCAGCGAGTCAGAATTTTATAGTTCAAATTCAAAACGCAACGCCCCAGGTGCGTTCTGCGCAACATCGAGTCCATGTCGCGCAGAACATGCTACGCGCGCGTCAATCTCCATAAAAGGGTTGTTTACATCTTACTCGCCAGCTTAACATTCCATTATTTTGCTACAGGGATGTTTCAAAAAGCATGAAGTGAACTTGCTGAACAAAATCAGGATTTTTTGAACGAATTGTTTGATCTTTTTTTACCGAAAAGGTATTTATGAATGGGAATAAATGTGTGCTCGGTCGGTATTTATCACTCTGTTTAATACCACTTAGAGTCTGGGTGCTGATAATTACCCTCGCCTCCGGCTCGGGTAATTATCAGCACCCAGACTCTAAGTGGTATTAAACAGAGTGATAAAAACCTCCGGAGCACACATTTATTCCCTTAATAATTTCAAAACCCTTCGAAAATCAAACCAATACATACCAGGGATGAAGTTAAGATGCCAAGCTTTAAAATGATATAAAAATAATGGTGGTACGTGATTTCGCGGCAACGCCAGAGCCTTGCAAAAAAAAATTGTTTTGGGTATTTTGGGATGCGCTGTATTGGGCAATAAGGGATTTTATTTTATTTTTTAAATGGAGTGTTTGCATTTCTATGAGGTGATGGCACTTTCATTTCTTAAAAAAAAAATGGGGAAATGGCCAGCCCCCTCACTAAATATGCCACTGATTTGGGGCCTTGGCAAATTTCCTTGACCTCCATTTCAAAGTTAACAGAAGTGGCAAGTGAGATGATTTAAAATGCAAAAAGTAGCCTGAAATCTAAACCTAAAACAAATCCAAATTACCAGTGATCTGAAGTCGAAGCTTGACAAAATACATGTACTCGGATCTACACCTACTCACCATACCTTGGGCAACAAGTCATATGACATGAATGGTTTCCAGTGTTACACAAAGTGCACTAATGAAATAGAACATGACAGTTCAAGCTTTGTTTCCAAGATCTAAGAAATTATTCAAATATTTAGACTATAATATACTAAAGGCTTAATGCAGGGTTCGACCTTAACTTTTTGTTCACTATCCAGCAGGGGCCGTATTCATGAAACCTTACTAAGCCTAGTTGGTTACTAAAAAGGCATGTAGTTGCTTACTAAGCCTAATTGGTAACTAATGGTATTCATGAAACATTACTAGCATTAGTTATATTCCAAGTTTCTTACTAAAGTTAGTGTTGATCCAGGGCTCTAAGTGACTAGTTTATCATTATTTTGTCGTGTCGGACTTGGCTCCTTAGGTGGTTTCCCCCCCTCAGGTTGCCTTTTTTACTTTCTCATACTTGACGGGCATTCTTTTGACTCGTTCTAGTTTAATTTGGATAATCTAATTGTGAAATCATCCATTGATCCTTCAACCTGTGGGAAATGGAAATCGGGCAAGGTGTTGGCTGAGAAGAGAATAGCTACCCATGCATCTTTCTTTTTATTAGTGTTTGCATCCTTATGCTTAGCATGAATAATATTTTTTAATTCCTCATACTTGTTAACTGCCATAAAGAGATTCTCTTCTTGAGAATAATTTGCCTTCCTTGCCCCTTTTGTAGCCATGTCTGATAGCTTTATATGCAATTGCTGGAGAATTTGATGTTGATCCACTTATGTGCAGTACACTGTACCATATATATATATATTTTGCTAATCCACACAAGTGCTCGACATGGATTAGCCTAATACACCTGTCACACTATTGTATCTGTTGTCATCACATTCCATACATGCCCATTCCACCCAAGAGAACCCAATTCCAGTTATTCAGGTATGCGACTAAAATCCTCTAGTATGTAACTACTTTAAGGTTCTTAGTAAGGTTTCATGAATTACAATTTAGTTGTCAACTCCATAGTAGACTACTAGGCATTTTAGTATCCTACTAAGGCCTAGTTGGCTGTTAAGTTAGTAAGGTTTCATGAATATGGCCCCAGGGCTACTGAAACAGGCTCTTAACTAGCCCGCAGGCATTTTCGCTAGCCCGCATTTTTTTTTATTTTATAGAATGTCTCATAAACAACAATGTGCATACATATAAAACGTGTTTACAGCCTGAAAGTTGACCCCTGGTGGTGCGCTTCAGGGGCAAAGCCCCCGAAAAGGAAAATTAATGCGTAAAAGTCAGAGTTTTTGAAATTAGTTTTGGTATACATTGTATTGATTTCTTAATAAAATTACCCTCGGAATTTTATGAAAACTAAAAATTCGCATGACGTGAAGGAAAAATATCGTGTCAAAATTTGACCTCTCACATCGTGGAACTCGATCACTCGTTAAAGCATGACAATTTTTGAAATAATTTTGTGGCGGTCATTGGGTAAAAAAACCTTACACAAGAGACTCAAATGGTTTTGGGAACGGAAAATTTTTATGAATAAATTTGAAGGATTTATTTTCATTTACAAATAAATCTAATGTGTTCGTTTATAAAACTGTATTAAAACGTGATCCAAACGATCCTTAATAAATCTAGAATCCATTGGATGTACGCAGGTAAATTTTTGCGTCGATATCATTTTCGTTCTCACGCAAGTACATGTATGCGATGTGAAAACAGACGCGATCCATACGGGCGACCTTGGAACGAAAATAGGTAGTGTAAGAAAAATTCGTTTTTACCCATTTCCAAGTGATTTCTTATCTATTCTGAGTTGTCAGTGTTGTTACTAAAGAGATCTGATAATGTAACCCTTTTGAACAGTTGATAAAACTATACACAAATTAATACAGGCTTGCTTTCTGAATTTAATGATTTATTTATTCCTGCCCTTTCATCTTTGCCGTATCCCAATAATTTTTGGACTCGCCAGCCGGGCTACTTAATAGTTTGACTAGCCCGCTGCTGTTTTGACTAGCATTTGGCATGCGGGCTACCGCCAATTTCGAACCCTGCTTAATGTCATCAAATCAAAACCTGTGTTGTTATACTTCTGTGAATGCTTGAATCATTTTTTAGATCGTTTTTTTTGGGGGGGGGGGGAGCTGATACTTTGTGTCTTTTCTTCTACATCATGTACATGGAAGAAATCTGGGATCTCATCACATTTATTCAAGGTAATTTCTGTCATTCATAACTTGTGAAGTAATTTATACATGTGTTTACATTTTAAAATCAAACAAAATTCTTTAACGATTTTTTTTTGCCAAAGAAATGGAGTCGGATGATCCTTTCTTCCGGGGTTACCATAATTTGGCAAATTTTAAATTTATGCATTTGAAGGTCTGATAAAACTACACTGGCACAAGCGAGAATGGGTAAAAGCAAAATAATATCTTTTCTGTGTGACATACCGGTTGGGTTGGAGAACGAAGTTAAAATCTTTTGTGTGTTCTCATGATGCACCACAGCATTTCTTTAAAAAAGGATTTACCCTGTCTAATCTGTCACCCGATAACTCCTACAGCACTGAGGGCAGGTGGCACACAATGACTATCTCCACCCCTCAAGTCATGATACAAACAATCAAATCTGAGAAATGGCACAAATGTATCAAACAGTGAGTAAAACCAAAAGAGAAAACTGACAAGATGCACTTTTAATAAATCTGCAAACTTTATGGCTATTAGCTAGTATTATCGACTCGGGTAGTACAGTGGCACACCCAGGATTGGGCTTGGGGGGGAACTCAATTTATTTTCAAAAAACGTTGCCCAAAATTTTTGGCAGCATAAAAAAAAATTTGGATTTTTTTTTCGGGGGTGGGGGGGGGGGGGGGGGGGGGGGGGGGGGTGGGGGGGGGAAAGACTATTTTGACGTTGGTGGCGCCACTTACACCCCTATTTCACTACTCGAAAATGGGCCACATCCATATCACCAAGGTCAAATCGTGGGACTAAAAAAAAACCAGTTAAAAAAAAAAAAACCAACAATTTGACAACTTCTTGGGGGGGGGGGATGAGCCCCCCCCCCCCCCCCTGCGCCACCGGGGTACTGACAATTAAACACATTACGCATGGAACAAAGTGAGAGATTTAGATCAAACTGGAAATATGAAAGGGTCTAAGTAAATAACTTAATGAACCAAAGATTTTCTGCCAATTCGGAGAGACAGCATCTGTTGAAAATTATGACTAACAATTAAATACATGAAAACAACAGTGTTATGCACAATGTAAAACAAAACATATTGAATCATTAATGAATAGTTAATGAACAACTACAACTAAGTTAGCACTACATGTACCTACATATTGGATCATAAACACTATTTAGACTTGATTTAATCAATCGTGTAAATATCTGTCTGTTAAATGGAAAAAGCACACCTAAAATTAGCCTAGAAAGCCTACAAATGGTGACACACATAAATTTACTACACACAGCAAGTTGTCATGGTGTACCAATTACTTTGACTTCTATGTCTGTTGAAGCCGTTCTACATTATGACAGTATGTTTAATTTGTAGCCAAATCCTTTCAATTTGTATACATAGGATAAGTCTACAAGGGCAGTTGGAACGTACTGAATTGAGTTAACTTCAAACTTTACAATTTAATACAGCTGACTGTTGGACATAGACCAAGATGTATTCACAAGATATTGATCACCAAGGTTACACAATGTGGAAATAACAGTTGTAATATCAGGCTACATTATTTTTGTATCCTTACAACAATCCTACCGTACATCAACAAAGCACCTTTTGTTTTATTCTAAGCATACTATACATAGAAGATCAATAACAATTACAAATGCTTTTACACTTATAAACAATATCATACTTGGAAAAATTAAGTATCCACGGAACTGTAAAAAAAAAATCCCAATAACTAGATGTTGGTTGATCACATTTGAATTTCTTGTATCCATTGATACGCACTTCTTAAGAGATCTGATGCACTCAGCAGATATTTTCAAAGTTTTTTATTTTGGTTGTTTTAATTAAAGGGGTATTACGGCCTGAAATCCCAGAAGATTGTATGTTTTGGATTATTTACTTATCCTATTTCAAAGGTCTGGTCGAAAGGAAACTAACCTTATGTCTTACCGTTCCCAAGAGAAGACGGAAAAACAAAACCAAAAAAAACCCCTTGTTGTTAACATTGGATGCGGCTGAGACATTTTGTGGCCTACGCATACCTACATATTTGTACATGTGAGTCCAGCCGTATGTGTGTATACGTACCGTAGGTCTATAAGACGCTGCTTGGCCCGCATGTTACAAAATTGGAAAGAGCATTTAAAAGGATAACACATCCACACAAACATCCTTTAAAAGAGTTTTTGTGGAGGGGGGGGGGGGGACGCCTATGGGTGCATTAATTTTTTAAAGGGGCCCTGAAGGCAAATTAAAGGTATCATTTCAATAATGCAGTAAAATCTTTTTCAAATTAAGATTTAAAAGGAGGGGTGGGTGGGGGGGGGGGAACAGACATCCACTAAGAGGGGGAGGGGACAATATAAACACCCATTAAACACCCCTATTACAATTTACTTACAGTTATACAAAAACCAGTTGTTCTGCTGTGTTTTTGAGGACACGAAGCATTAACATAAACTGCATTTGTTAACATTGATTCCTTCAGCAAAGTTATGGGAGAGTTCCATACATCAATATTCCTAGACTACATGTACCTCATGTCCTCATTGTTTGTGAAAGATTTTGATTTTAAAAATGGATTCTGTACGTTACACGGAATCAAAGTTAACATTTACAATACATTTAGCTTCTAGTTCCTACTTGTTTTGAATAAGCAAGTAAGATTTGAAGCTTTGCATGGTGGAGATACTAATGAATGAAAGGTTTGCGGATGGCACCCTGGGACACAGCGTCTACAGGAAACCAACCCACACCGACCGCTATCTCCACCAAAGGTCATTCCATCACCCTAGCATCAAGTCATTGGTCAACCGGACCCTAGTACAGAGAGCCTTTGATGTCTGCGACCAAGACAACCTCAAGCGTGAACTCAAGCACATCCAGGCGTCACTACAACGGAACGGCTACAAACCCAACCGCATCAAGATCAGCAAACCTGACCAACGGGTCTCCTCATCTCCCTCAGTCACTCTTCCGTACATAGGTCCAGCCTCTCATCATCTCCAACGCATCCTCCGACAAGCCGGTGTCACGGTGTACCACTCATCTGGCAACAAGCTCCAAGGCACCCTCCACACTCACAAGGACCAGCAGGACTTCTCCTCCATGGAGTCTACCACATTCCATGTGAGTACAGCAAAGTCTACATCGGGGAAACTGGTTGGAACCATCCCACTAGGCTCAAGGAACACCGAGCACGTGGTTGACGAGGAGATTTTGACAAATCGGCCATTGTAAAACATTCCCACATCAACGACCACAAAGTTGATTGGGATGCGGCTGAACTCACCGCCCCGATCCAGTTCTGGCATCCAAGACGCATCCAAGACGAGAAGCAATCGAGATCCGCAAGCACAACACAGTTCCGCAAGACATCGGATTTCACCTCAACGACATCTGGCTCCCACTCCTCAAGACTGATGGGTCTCCTATACCCTAAGTTGTCTGCTATCACCTAAGACTAATGGGTCTCTTTTACCCTAGGTCCTCCCTCTACTGAGACTGCAGCCCTACTGTTCCACTTCAGTGGGCACGCCAAGCTTGCACTAGGATCCCAGCTACTTGGCATCCACACAGGATGCAACTTCACACTTCATCGATTTAGCTTTTGCTACTTACGTGTTTACTTTCTTAGAGTTTAGGCACTCTCCTGAAGACGGTCAGAGCATACTGACCGGAACGTCGAGTTTATACCTCTGGTTCTTTTCAGAACCATTCTCTTAGTTGAGAATTTTTTTGCACATGGTGTTTCCGCAAACCTTTCATTCATTGTTTTGAATAGATTTGTCTAGAAAAAGATATATTTAAGCACTGTGATATATTGTTAAGCACTGCAAGATTCAGTTCGCTGAATGCTCTGGCTGACATTTAGACAGGCTCTGCGATGCATTCCACTCTCAACAGATTTTCTATTTTTTGACCAAAAAGCAACCAAAGCTTGCACCGTAAGAAAGCCTAAAAACTGCAAGAACTTATTGCGACTTAGATACTATTTATATTTTGTTACTTGGGATGCATACATAGACTCACATGCAATTGTCATTTTCTCCCTTTTTTGGGAGAATTTAATTACCTATTCGTGAGTACTTGATTACATGTACTTGAAATTTTGTTTCTTCAAAATTACTTGACTTGAAAATTCACTGTTCTCCCAGGACTAATATATTTTTCCACTTTATGCACTTCAGAACACTTTCCAAAATTCACATGGTTTGCAAAGATTTGTTAAACATATTTATTGTGGGTAACTAGCTAATCTACCAGTGGATAATTATCTGCAACACATGGAGAGAAACTATTTACATAACAATCAACTTTTGTCAATAAAGCATGAAATACATGTACATTCTCTTCTACTGCTGTTCCTTGTCACTGCATGACATCTGTCATTAGGATCTCATACCTGTTAGTAATCTCCATCCTCATTCATTTCAGCCCATGAATCATGAACATCCATCACCATCAGCATGCGGGTTATATCTTATTCATGTCATGCTCTGCCAACGGTGCACTTGAATACCACACTGGACTGTCTGGGACACAGGACCGCTCTGGTACAAGGTAGAATAATTCATTGTGGCTTCTCACCGAGTCGGGGCTATAAAACAAAATCAACACGTATGGCTTTAATTCATACTAAGTACTCAACAAACCATGGGTTTACTTTTGTCAAGTTTCAACATTGCAAAAAATTAGTAAAAATTGTCGTACTCCTAAGATAGAGTTTCTTCAGCAGATTTAGACTTTAAAGTATATAGTTAAAAAATAATTTAAAAAATATTTTTAAAAAAAGTGGCAACGATATATGGATTTCTTCAAATTATGTTTTGCCCTTTTTTAAATTAGGTTGTTTCCAATTTTTTTAATTGATTGTGACAATAACAAATTTTGTTGCCATGTTGTAATTTAATGTATGAATCAAACATGAAGAGCACTAGCATGACAAAAGCAGGTACAAGTGACTCCTAGCTTTCAATTACCTCTTTCACATCCCCATCAACATCATCATCTCAAGGACAGACTGTTCAGCCGTAATTAGTGTCTTGTGTTTATTTAGATTATTGTTATTTATTATCTGCCGTCTCGGTCTCGGACCATTTCGGTCTCGGTCCACCTTGAAGAGGTCGGTCTCGGTCTCGGTCTCACAACTTCAGGTCTCGGTCTATCCGGTCTCGAATACAACACTGATATTGCATATGGAGTTTGTACTGGAGTTGATAGCGCAAGGGATCACAAGCCCAGTGAACTGACAGTATTCTATCTGCTATTATTGGTGAGAACAATAAAGTTACTGTACATGTGTATTACAGTACTAGAGTGCTAACCCCTTGCACACAACACTTTTGGACACGTCTTCTGTGCAAATATTCTGAATACAAGTGCATATTCAAAAACAATATTAGAATTAGATGGAATAAAATTTCTCATGGTGAACTACAGATGTAAGGAAAGATAAAAAAAACCCCAAATGTTGCTGCAACGGCACAACGTTTTACGCGTGTGAACACAAATCACTGGTAGTTTAATTATGCATGGTATTTGAACAGAGCAAAATGAAATGTTCATATACAGTTTAAACATTTCGGTTTTTGGCATATCATATCATATCAGTTTCATGATACATGTACTGTACAAAACACCCTTGAACAAGGTTTGTAAAAGTGTACATTAAGACACAACTCCTATAACTGAATGAAAATACACCCACTTACAGTCACAATACAAACTGTTTAAAAACCGGCTGTAATGGATATCAATCCTCAATCCCAAAGGAAATGTATGATCAAGATATGCTTTGGTCTTTTTTGCTTCACAGGCCTTCAATTTAACTAAGATTTTGTGGACAGTCAGGTTAACGACTACGTAGCAATATTATTTGGTGCATCCACATCAAATGGGATGAAGCCTATGCAATTGTCCGTGCGTCTGTTTCACAAACAAATGTTTGATTCCCTCTTTATCAGTAAGACATTTTCAATAAATTTATGATTGTAAAATATACACTCTTACCATTTTGAAAGGTAGAATTCATAGAGCCTAACAGGGCACCGCAGAGGGTTATCTGTATTTTCAGGCTGTTCCAGTCGAGTACATTCTACATCAGGATCCCGATCCCGTTTCCTCTTTCCGGCTGGCTCTATCAGTGCTAATAAACAAACAATAGTTATAAGACAGCATCTAGACAACTTAATTTAACCCATTATACATATCAAAAGAAAACAGACAACTTCCTCAAAAGGTCACTATAATGGTTACCGAGTCATAACAGAGTATTTTAATTACTGTCAGCGTAAATGACATACACACCTTTTTTTCGGTCTGCTGGATAGTATCTCAGGAACATTGATCGAGTTGCACCCACTTTACGGATTTGTTTCTGGATACGACAGAATGCCAATGCCTTATGATTTGCAAGAGTTTTGAGCTGGAAATGCTTGGTATTGAAGTAAATCATTGTGCTCAGCAGGATGTAAGGGGAATGAGCTCCAAGCTGTTTGGCATTCCACAATGTCTCCTCATTGATGCATGTGTTCAAGATAACATTAGTAACAGGATGTTGATCAACCACCCACTCTTTGATCTCGTCATGCAGGAGATCAGTAAACCGACGGTAAAACTGATCAGTGAAGACATTTTCAGGACGCCCATTATCAGAGAGATGATGCTGTATTGACAGGAAGATGAGATGTAGAATATCTGCCGAATATTTCTTTCCATCCGGCTGCTCTCCTTCTTTGCACATCAAACATAGAATGTATGACAGTTCCTCTGAGCTTACTTCCAACAGGTTGGGGCTCCATGTAAAGCTCTTCAACTCCTTTCCTGTCAAAGTTTGTTTCTTCTTTAAGGCAAAGTAACGATAAGCATTAACTCCAATAGTATTACGGGATTCTTCTTTGCTACGTTTCACTTGTGGCAGGGGTTCTACTGTATCTGAAGTTTCTTCAACACAAGTGCGCTTGCTTCCACGGCTGCGTCCACGTCTAGCTGCTGTTTTACTTGATTTGGAACGAGTACTTCTTGTTGGCAAATCAATTTTTGCTTCTTCTACAGCTTGAAGTGAATTCAGATCATCTGTATGCAAAAGTAGGCCCGTCCCAAGAAAACAAATAAAACATCACTGTTTAACAATATATAAAGCGGCTTTTCTCTGTGTATGTGTTCATAAGATCAGATCCAAATTATTTGTGTACACTGAATTCACCATACAGTAAAACCTGTTAACCATGTTGTTTCACACTGTACATGTACAGTAAACTCCGGCTAAGACGGCACTCTCGGGACCAGAGAATTTGTGACGACTTACGCGAATGTCGGCTTCTGCTGCAAGTTGTCATTTTGCCGACTTACACAAATACACAAATTGAATCACAGAGTGAAAAAAATAGATTGAATTAATGGCCAATGCGCATCTGTATCTGGATCATGCAAACAAGATTCATGGCTTAATTTCAAAGGCTTTGATTAACCCTGGCTTATGTCTACATCCATGGTTGATTCCAGCAAATGTATCCTCAATGTTTATCATCACAAACAGGCTGTGGAATTGATCACAGAAAGTCATGCATGTATATGTACGTACGTACGAAGCAAGGATGGCGCGGCCGGCTAGCGTTAACAGTGGTATGATATACAGATCGCTTGCATACTGTACGTCCATGTACATGTAGTGTACATTCTGCACGTACGTACGTGTACAGTCTCGAATTAAATGTGTGCATGGTACTGGTACAATAATGGGACCCCCAAAATGCACAGAGCGCATGCATGCAGTCGAGAGGGGGTACTGGTATTGATGGTACGGAATGGACATGTACTTCGTGTAAGCGAACAATGCACACAATGTACAGACTGTGTATGAAACAGTGTACACGTGCGATTAGTGTACATGTGCTGGCCGATGCATCAATCATGGGCCGTGCCATTGATAAACAGATGTCAGTTAGTGTGTGGGACTTTTCACTCGACACTTCTTGCAAACCGCAGAGCATGATGCCGACTTATACAAAGGAATTTGTGTGGTTTTGAGGAAATGGGACTAAAAGTAACACGCCGACATAGGCGAAATGGCGGCTTATAAAGGCCAGAGTTTACTGTAGTTATATTAGTTTTACAATATATTGTATTTGCTTAACAATTTATTATGCATTAATCCAATGATGCTTTTATCCCATTGTAGTGTATTGTATTGTATTGTATTGCATTGTATTGTACTTGTAATGTATTGCATTTGTATACATGTATGTAGTTTTTTATTGTATGCAGGGCCCCAATGGAAACCAGTTTTGAACTGTTTGGGCACACCCTGGGTAAAGAAATGTAATAAATAAATACATAAATAAATAAGTAAAAAAAAAATAAATAAATAAATAAATAAATAAATAAATAAATAAATAGATGCTTATGCAAATCTGGCAGCTGCAGCTTGCGTGTATTTGTGTTCATCTGCAAAGCAGCTCTGTAGTTTTCTTATCAGGGGTGTGGGGTAAATGGAACAAAGACCAATAATAGGGACAGCGGGCAGGTTGGTACATATAAATCTCAGTACCCAAAATTGGAATTAAAGGGTTTGCAATTTCAATAGAACCAAATTAAAGGGAAACAAAACCAGGGAAGAAAAGGGCTTCAATGGTGGTATCCCATAATTTAAACCCTATAAGTTAAACGAGTTTCTTACACATATGTGCATTCATCCATTGATCAGTTGATCAAAGCAGTTATTCCTGATAAAGTGGGTGATGCACAATGTTGTCTCATTACAGTATAAATTTCCGAGGGTAAATTGTTTCATTTCTCTTTACCTAAGCCTTGTTAACCTAGAAGATCAAGATAACTTAACAGCTAATATAAGAATTTATGAAATGTTCAGTTAAGGAGAATACACGAGAAGGTGTGGATTAATAAATTAAGAATCCACACTTGCGAGTGTATTCTTCGATTTAAACAGGGGTGTGAGTGGAGCTCTAAAAAAAAATAGCTGAAAATAGCTGAACCTATAAATACCGGAACCTGTGAGCACGAAGCCCTTACGGTGTGGGGTCTGGGGCCCGCCCAAGGGCTCTGGGAAAATGTTGAAATGTAGATGCTCTGTGGTGCATTTACAGCCTCCTGGGCCAACTATTGGTCGAAAATGTGTTGCAATTTATGCATGTTTTTAAGTGAACTTTTCCTTCATATTGGCTTGAAACTGCATAAATGGCCAACTTGTATGTGAAAACTGTGTTGAAATTGAGGTTTGTAGTGCGAGTCTACCAAAGCCCCGCCTCACAAAAATAAACCTCCTTTAAATCTACAATGAATGTAGCTCTTAATAAGTTAAACTTCATGTTGGTGTGTTCCATCCAAATCCATTTCCATGGATTTGTAACTTGAGGATCGGTCTTGTCAATGTCGGTATCAAACTCCAAACCTCTTTGGACAATTATGCATTTGTGTTGCACTGACATCTTGCAGAATTTATAATGTCCACGTCAAAAGTTGTTGGAAAATACGTCCGAAACGACACACTAACGTACGTTAGCAGCATGCAGTGGAACACATGATGCATGCAATGCACACATTCAATGCACACATGAACTTTGCCCCGCATGAAGCCCTCTATCGGCGCGGTGACAGTTTACTAGTCTTATTTCAAGGCTTTCTATTTTCAACAAGACGTGTGCAAAGTGATCTTTTCGATGTTTACAGCGAGTTATTGTGGGGATCATTGTGTGTCACTACTTACACAGACACAGGAACGGCTGCAAAGAGTCCTAACGCACTTCATGGCGCATGTGTGAATATTCATATTTATCTGCAGCCAATCACAGCGCAATGACTGTTGGTTCCCCGGATGCTTTTACATGTAGTGTACAACACATTGTACACACGCGGCTTCGAGCTGAAAAATGCATGCACATCGCATCGTAACCCTGGTATCATATATGGCACTTGTACAGTACACGTACATGTACATAGGTGATTGTACATTGAAAACTCGCTTGCACGCACCACTACAGCTACGTGTAGAGAGCAGATCGCCTGTGTTTTTCGCGTGCATTCGGCGGCGACGAGAAATAAAATAAAGGGAAATAAAATCGATGCTTATGCGCAGGGGAAAAAGCAGGGGAAAATCTGGACCATCGGTAGGAAAAAAAGCGGAAAACAAAATGTGACACGCTGAACAAAAAGCTGAAATCCGGTAAATAGCGGAGATTTCACACCCCTGTTACACCATTGCGTCAAAAGAAGTATTGTCATTAACATTAAAAGTCCAGTGAGTGGAGATGAAAAGACTTGCATATCTCGTGTTGAGTCGTGGCCATTTAGGGTAATTTACAAGCGAGTTTTTCGAGGCTCTTATACGTGATCAAGCATTGTGGTGTGTTTAGCATGTGTATCGCCGCACCCGTACAACCAAGTAATTTTTTGTGTAGGTTCCTTACGTCAACATGGATAGTTCAGACGACAATTTCTTTCGGACTCAAAGTTGTTTTTGCAGCGACGGCGGAGAATCGTAGTTCCGAATCGACACTTTGTGACCAGTGTAACAGATTCGTAGTTCCGCATCCACACTTTTAACAATAGTGTGATGTCATAGCAATGGTTTAATCTTTAAGACACCACGTTTGTCACATACAGAACTCCATGGTGTGGTGATAACATTAAACATTATCTTATTCTGACCTTCTAAGTCATTGCTTGGGTCTTCTTCAAGAACCTCAGCAATATCAGCAGCCATCTTGAGGATATTGTCAGTTACAAACTGAGAAGGTACAGAATCCTCTGTATCTTCCAAAGACAGACTTCCCAACTCATCGCCTTCACCTGCAGAGAAAAACAAGGCTACAAGGTTACTTTAAAAGGAAAGAGTGAGGACCTTTCCAACACCTCTGTAGTTCCCCCTATCGGTGTTCACAACCGAGTTATACATGCATTATTCACAACAGAATTCAATGGCATTCAGCTGTATTTTTATAAAACTACTTTTCCCCATGCGTTTGTTTCTTTCACAGATAGAAACAGACACATACTGAGTAATGGCTTTCACTTGAAATAACACCAAAGTGACGAACTCTCATTTATACCTAGTGCTTGCAGGCTGTTTGCTTCCAGTGGTACTAGTTTGGATTCCTGACCACCTTTACTTCTCTCATCTCCTGCAATGGCATCTGCTAACATCAGCATTTCTGCCTCTAATGGATCTGATGGAATCCTCTCACTGATTTCTTTGATAGATGCCAGCAGACGGTCAGCATTGTTATAGGCAACAGGTATAAACACAGGAACAGGCACAGGTACAGGCAAACTAACAGGATGTGGCACAGGGGTTGTGTACATGTGCATTGGCACAGGCACAAATATGGGGACAGGAACTGGAATTATCAGTGGATGCTGCTCATCTGTTGGCATAAACAGACAATGAATTGTGACACATAAATTTGATGAAAACATTTATTATTACTTTTCACGAATACCTCAAATAGGCCTGGGTATTCTCCTAATGTGCACTAAACTATAACATACATTGCCTTAGAACTGTTCTTATCTGGGTCCTGCAAAACTGAAAACAAGAGTCATCAGGTCCTTCAGGCTAATTTTGGAAAATCAACAAATTTCTGACACTATGACTCTGGGTTCCAATTTCTGATTGCTGATTGATTGAACAAAAACAAAAATGCTCTTTTGGGCTGTTTCGGTTTAGATTTTTTTTTGGGGGGGGGGCATTTTTTGCAAATTTGTGAAAAAGCCTTTGTTTTTGTTCTGATTTTTTTTTTTAATTTCTTCTTTTTGTCAGGAAAAATGCCATAGACTTTGTACACAATTTTTCTACACGCCACTTTTGGCACTCATCTTTGTCATATTTGTCAACATCAGGATACCAGTATGATAGGTTTTATAGTTTTTATATAGGTCAATACTTAAATCACGTTCTATGATGTAATGATATGTGTAGTAGGTGTACAAATAATCTTAAAGATCATATTCTGAAATATAATACACAGAAAACAAGGATTAGATTTGGTTAGCTTGAAAGAAGGTAAACATTAAGATCACGTCACAACGAGCCATTTCTCTTCAGAACTACAGTAATTCCCCCAAACGCCAAGTACATCGAGGAATTTTATTGGTTAAATCCCTCATTACAAGTACTCATAAACAACATGCAGTAAATTTATTAAAAAATCATACTGCGAAAAAGCCCTATGTTCCGTTCATCGAACAGACGTAGCTCTAGTTTTCTTTTTTCTTCTTCTTTTTCAGCCATTCCCCAGAGCATATGTTTACATTTTCATCGTGCATGGCACTTCGGGGCACTAAAATGATTTCGATTGCCTTTATATGTGGCGCACACTTTAAATAGACCAGCACCTGCCGCTGTGTGCCGAACATTGACGTCATCATGACTTCATCACAAGTCACATGACGTCACATTATACATGCATATTTTAAAGGCCTATATCTCCAGAACTAGAGGTTCAATTGGGTTGAAAGTTGGTATGTACCTAAACCGGGGTGCATTATAGATGCATCACATGACATGTGACGTCATCACATGACATGTGACGTCATGTTAAAAGTGCATATTTTTAAAGGCCTATATCTACTGAACAACAGGTCCGATTAGGTTGAAAATTGGTATATACCTAGACTGGGATGTGTTATAGATGAAAATTGAAGTGACATCGTGATGTCATCATCACATGACATGTGACGTCATCACATGGCATGTGACGTCATTTTAAATGTGCATATTTTTAAAGGCCTATATCTACAGAACGACAGGTCCGATTGGGTTGAAAATTGGTATGTACCTAGACTGGGATGTGTTATAGATGAAAATTGTAGTGACCTTATGAACATATTAAAGGTTCATTTTTCTAAGGCTTATATCAACAGAACTATAGGTCCGATTGTGTTGTAACTTGGTACATGTATGTACCTACATGTACGTTGCGATGTGTAATACATGTAACTATCAGTCTTTAACTCACTTGTACATTATACATTAACAAAATGCAGAAACAGCCATGTGTTTGGCCACAAACATGAGTCTAGTTACAACTGACTGACAAAACTGACAAAATTATTGATGAAAAAAAAACGATGGTAATGGCACTTAACTCCCTGTGAACTTATTCTTTCTAGCATGCTGTCATTTGAAGGAAACAATGAAAGAAGGAAATTTCCAAAGATGAGTCAAGCGACACTTTTTTGGAAATTTCCGTTAGTTTTTTAATCGGCACATCTATAAATAATGAAAGGTTTGCGGAAACACCATGTGCGAATAATTTCTCAACTAAGAGAATGGTTCTGAAAAGAACCAGAGGTATAAACTTGACCGTCTCCAGTCAGTATGCTCTGACCGTCTTCAGGAGAGTGCCTAAACTCTAAGTAAGTGAATACTTAAGTAGCAAAAGGCGAAGTCAATGAAGTGAGAAGTTGCATCCTGTGAGGATGCCAAGTAGACAGGATCCTAGAACAAGCTAGGTGCCCACTGTAGTGGAACAGTAGGGTTGCAGTGTCAGTAGAGGGAGGACCTAGGGTATAGGAGACCCATCAGTCTAAGGTGGTAGCTTCCGCAAACTTTTCATTATTTAATAACACCTTACTTCCGTTTTGATGACATCACAGCTTTTGGAAGCCCAAGGTCAACATTATACTGGATATCATTTGTGCTATGAACACGGTCATTAAACACGGATCAACGGAATTTAATTTACAAACAAAGAAAGCTGATCATTTTCAAGTTCTCTCTACAATAACTTCTGGTCTGATGACATGATTAAATTCCAACAAGTTCAATTGTTTTGGATGTGCCGCTGGAGGGCGCCCTTTCAAGAGATGACATCATCAGGATCAATTGGATCAGGGATGGTGTTGGTTCAAAGCTACAACTTACAAGTTTATACCATAAACGGTTGAGAAGAAAACCCGCCGAGAATTATTGTCCAAAAAACAACAAAAAAGACAGAAATAAATAAAGAAGAATTATTCGAACATTTCTAAAATGGTGATCAGGTTGTGCCCAATCACCAAATAACTAAACATGAGCATTTTCAGTCAATGTCTCATTCCAAAGTGAATAATTTTGTATTGCTAGAAAAATAGCAATTTAGAAAAGGAATCAGAATCGCCAAAAGTGTGACCGTGCAATGAAACTTGTTTACCATGGAATAGAACTTCTTTTTTTTGAGGTGCTGCCCCACCGTGCTTTGGGACAAATAATTCAATGACAGGTGATCAACGATCCACTGATCCAATGAGAGGGATTTATTTAGGCCTTTTTTTTTCTATTAAACTTAGATAACACATTTTGTTGGTCCCTGGGTTGGGTAGCGAGCAGTAAAAAAACACCACACTAGAACTATGTCTGTTCATTGAACAGACCACAGGCTTTTCTGCATATAGAAAGAAATACCTGTAAGAAAATTTCTGTATTGACAACATGAGGCGCCAGACAAATTTCAATTTTTTTAACATTTATCTGCAAAAAGAAAATTACCTTTAAAACATATATTTAGATTTCTTATGACATCATGATGACATCACACATTTGTTCATATTTTTGTGCAAATATGTATGACCTTACAAGCCTATTACAAGAAGAATTTTGAATTTAGCATGTTCAGTCCTTGAGATACGGCTTTATAGTTAAAAAATTCATACAAAATCACACAATGATATTATGACGTCACCTCAATTTTTACCTATAACACATCCCGGTCTACCTCAAACAATGACCTCAAAAGACCCTTGACCTTCCATTTTGGAAGATTTGTGATGAACCCCACTCAAGGATCACTCCATCCAAGTTACATTAAAATCCATCAAAATCTGTAGACAAACATTTGATCAGCATTGATCGGTCGATTGTGGCCTACTCTCTAGTGCAGCTGGTTTCCATCTGTTCGCCTTCTGCTTAAGATATTTTTGGTGACGGAAACCAGTGCACGAACAACGAGCATGGATCAAGGCAGTACGTAGAAAATGTATGGTGATTCCTTTGTCTAATTTTTTGGGCTAGACACTGGGATTGCCGTTTAAAATGTGAATCAAAACCTTGTGGAATTTTGGCCCACGATTTTTATATACTTTTTTTTATTTCCGAATTTTTTCAGCTGTGGATCTGTAATCCAAGTAATTAAAAAAAAAATGGCTGTAGGCATTGTATAAAAAAAATAAAATAACATTACCTTGGAATGTTGAAACACTCATCACAATACTTACCAGTCATGGTTTCCTTGGTAGATGTAAGGGGCCTGCAGGAGACAGATTTAGTTTGAGTGAATGGTTTAACAAGGGTCATCTTGTTCTTCACCATCTTAGGAGCAGGAGGCAAGGGCACTGGAGGGGGTGGAGGACGCAATACTTTTGGAGGTGCAGTGGTTATCTGAGTTTGTTTGTGACATTTTTTTACAATATTGGAGGGCACATTTTGAGTAGAGACATCTGAAACAGAAAAATAAAAATAAAACGGTACAGTTATTAAATGGACATTGTAAATGTGTGTTCTACAACAGTTTTTCATATACTAAAGAAATGTAGAAGAATTGGTTAGTATTTTGAAGTTATACATTTGACTGTAAGTGTGCTTTCAGTATAAAGGGCGGTTCAGCAACTTTCTCCAACATCAATTTTGAAACAACAGCTGAAACATCCTTTTGCAAAGTTGGACTTTTTTTTACTGGGTTTTGTCCTTCACTGAAGACTGGCCTATGGAAATACTTGGGACATTGAGAGACACCTGCATGTGTATTGCACATATTGAAAATGGACTGAGAGACTAGATCCCACACAGCCCATATTTGGTGTGGTGCCAACACAAGAAGCCAGACATTGGGTAGTTGGGCAACTCTTACTACCCAATGGAAGACATATGAATTTAACAAGATAGAATGATTACACATCTCCTTGATTATGACATTGGATATAAATAAAACTTAATTTTATTGTTGCCCTCGTAAATCCTTTAAAACAGCTGTCAAAAGTTCTTCTTGATACCAGCTGGGGAGGACAATGGTTTACTTGCTCTTTCTCCACTTTTAATCCCTAGACTTTTGATGTTTGATGTTATTATTACAGTTGTTGTTCACATACTTTCCTCATATTTGTAATCTCTTAGCTATTTTGATGTCTATATGTGTTTTTTCTCCTTTGTTTTAACATGTTTTTTAAAGAACATTTAATGATTTTATGTTGAGAGAAATAAAACAATAATGAAACAATAATTTATGAACGCGCTTGTTTATTTGTTTTTAAATGACAGAAGATGGTCGTTTTTTTGAGCAAAAACAGACTTGTATTTTAACATGTGACAGTAATATGCACAAATGATGTTTGTTTCAAGTTTTAAGTTTACTCCACCATTTACAAGAAAAGTTGCAGAGAACAATCGTCAAGACCAAAAACAAATAAATAAATAGTTGGGACAATGTTGTGATTTTGTGACAACAGTGCTTGGGATTAAGCCTGATTACTCCAAAAACAACAAACAACAAAGAAGAAATCACACAGAAAAAAAGAGTGATTGATGATCATCCAATCAACCTGTCAGTGAAAGGAGACTTATTTCACTGCACCACTAGTAACAGTCAATATCTGTTAGTAAGTTTTCCTCAGTATTGTAAGCTGACCAACCCTTCCATTGACTTTGAATTTGACAATTCAATTAACGGTCAATAATTAGACAATTCAAATCAGGGTTATAGTCAAGTCAATCACAAGTCATATCACAAAGGAAATCTCAAGTAAGGTCACGGAGGATGAACAATGACAAAGGGATGACTATGTATGCCCTAGTTCAGTTGAACGGATTTTCCTTTGACTTCAGACTGGATGACGTGTGATTGATTGGCCAGGACTTGACTACAACTCCAACTAAAATTTCCTGTATCCAACATCAACTCATGTTCAAATTTCAGTGCATACAATGTTTTCTTGTGAATGTACATGTAATAGCTGTTGTAATAAGTAAGCTTACTTGACTGCTGTTGTCCAGGAGCTAGTGAAACCACATTAGTAATAACAGGAGTGGTAGTTTCTGTCAAAAAAACAATCAATAGAACACATTACTCTAAGGACATTAAATAATAGCAGCTGCCATGCGTGTTTACCCTTTTATGCAATTTAAATATGACAGAATACATGCACGGTAGCTGTTGACCCCTTTCACCCTTTTTAAAGTGTGTAGAAGCCTGAAACTGAGTTACGTTAAATTCAAGGCTATGGATTCTGTGTGTAATAAATAGATGGTGCTTTGTGGCCTTTCTAAGATATGTATTGGCTAAGGTGGATTCAAAGATGGGTGGAAAGCTGAAGAGAATCCGAGGTACTCAAGACACACATATAATTCCAGCTATACGACAGGTAGTTACATTTGTCCGTCGTTACAACAGAAATGATGTTGTTCTATTCCCTACACTTCTGGAGGAAGTCACTTTGTCTGTGCGTCCATTGATAAGATTAAAGCCCAAAGTCAAGGGTCTCTGTCTCATCCGTACAGTAATTTGGAGATGCACATAGCCTGGTATACCCTAATCATGGTGGCGACTGTCAAACCTCGGTTGAAGAAAACATGGACACTGAGACAGCAAAAAGAATGGTAGCCTTTTTACTCAATTCTATTCTAGATCTTACTGCCAAGATCACACGTGGCAAACAGGGAGGATCCAAGTACATGTATGAGAAGTTGTCAACAGATACCAGTAAATTGCCATTAAATGTGATGGGTGGAGCAGTAGTTGGATTGTGAGAGGACATCTGGCACAAGACTATAGTCTTTTGCTTATTAACTATGAAGCACGCACGTTGATATGCAGTGGAGATGATGTCAAGGTTGTAGTGCAAGGCTGCAGATGTGTGAGCTGTTATAGCAGCATACTTCAAATCATAGATGTAGCTTGTAAAGATCCTTCTTGCAGTGTTAAGCCTGCTGAGGTTGAAGACAAGTTTTACACCTGCTGAAGAAGACTCGCCTGTACCAGTGTCAGAAATTGGTTGAGGAGGCACGCATTCCTAATCTTCCTCAGGTAGCATTACTTGCCCTGGACAGGACTAGAGCTTAGAATTATGCACTTGTTCAAACTAAAGCGAGGATAACGCGGATGAAGGTCTCTTAGGGGAAAGGCACATCTTCAGCTTGCTACTTTCCCTTTCTCGGTTGATATTGATGACACATTGAAGTGATGTTTTGCAGAGACAATCAAACTCGGTGTAGCTAGGTACTGACAGTATACATACAATGGAAGCCATACTGAGAAACATGTGGTTTCATGGGTGATTTATACACTTCAGGCTAGGGGTCATATGCATTTTTCTGAATGAAGGAATGTACCATTTTCTGCAAAGGGTTGTGCAAACCGTATTACAAGGGATAATAAGGCGAGTCTTGAAGATAAAGACGAAGTACAACCAACATTACTCAGACAAAGCTCAAATCCAATATAAGCAAAGGAGGAGGATATAATGTGAATGCCTACAACACCTAACAGTTTAATTTCTTATGATTTACTGGAAAAACTTACTTGGTGCAACTTGAGTGAGCTGAATGGCAGGTATTGTTGACTGTGTTTGTGTGTTCATATTTGGGATATTCTGTTGTGTATAGAACAACAGGAGGCAGTGCTGGTTGCAAACTCTCTTCATTTCACCACGCCATACAAAGCTCTCTTCGAGCTTACGTCCAGTACACTTACACCCATCACATCTGCAATGTAACATGATGACAAACCTGTTAGCATACTAAAATACATAGTACAAAAAAAACTTATTAGCCAATGATGAATTTGCTTAAGGAATTTATTTATTGTCCAAATAAGACACAATCACTAATGTTGAAAACAGTTTGTGGGCCATTCTGATGGTCTTTAGACTAATGGGGTCAAAATTATGATAGAACTATGCTTGCATTCTTTATATCCTTTGTTTTTGTTTTACATCTTTATGGGGTCTGCACAACATTTTTTTTTTTAATTAAAAACTCATTTACTGACACTTCAGGGTGAGTCAGAATGATCTGGACCCAAGTTCACCATTTTGTTTGTGGCAAAAAGAGTATATTGAGAAAACAAAACCGAGTGTTTCATATGAATGGTTATTACCTTGTCTTCTAAATTTCGAATTTTCAAATTAGTGGCTTTGTTGAGGAGTAATGCCATTTCATTGAAGTGGCTCATTTTCCAGTCTGCACACACAATTGGTTTTGCCTTTTCTAAATGTGTCAATAACTTCAAGTGAGTCAGTCACCATGACTAGGTTTTTATTTATTAAACTGCTTCACATCAGTATGCGTTTCAATAAATTTGTTGAACCATGGTACCATGGTCAAAGTGTTTTATAGTGTGTGTTCTTTGCTAGCGCTTTTCTTCAAAATGGTACAATGGATATACATGAAATTTTCATCAATTATGTCCAAATACCAGCCTATAACGTATCTCATTTGCACTTGTTATGATAATTGCTACATATTTTCAGTATTGTAGTCGAGGCCACAAACTACGAGGCCAAGGCCAAAACCTCCGAGGCCGAGGCCACAACCGCAAGGCTGAGGCCGAGGTCGAAGCCACAACCTCTGAGGTCAAGGCCAAGGCTGAGGCCAGCTATTAAAACATGTAATAAAAGATAAATCACTCAAACAAAGCTAATATTTTGTTGGATTTTTAAAATCTTTTTATTTGAATTCACTGAGTTTTGGAGTGCCTGGCTTACAAAATGTGCAGCTTGCCATGTGTTTCCTCTTGCCATGATCTTCACATTCTTCGTGGCCATTGCATCCAAAATCGGATGATCTGAGAATGTTGAGGAACTGAGTGATATCATGCACGCATGTGGAAAGCTGAAGTGCAGGATAGACAGGCTTTGCATTGCACGAGCACGCATGCATGCGAAGAACGGGTTGGTTCCCTGCCATTATCGCTTTGGCTAATGCTCACTGCATTTGTGACGTTCTCTCGTTCATGGACGTACGAGTGTAGCTTGAACTTTCCAGTGTTACTGGCTAATGACGTCATTGGCGTGACCAGGGAGATTTGCCAGGAGCACTGGAAAGAAGCCCATGACTTAGATGGCATTTTTTTGTTGTTTTTTGGTTTTTTTGGGCCAATGTTTCAATTTCCGTTCAAATTACAAAGAAAAAGTCACCTATGACTGTAGATTTATCCTCAATGAGCAGAGGATCCATGCAAAAAGAGAAAAGAATCAAGTGGAACAAGATAAAAAGAGATTGTTTTGGTGCAACTCCGGGTGTGTACAAAAAAAATAACCCAGTTCAGTAACGTACATACGTGCAGCGCCTGCGCTATGGCCGTATCATAAATTATGTGGGGACAAAATCGCATCCGAGTATCATTCAGAACAGCCAATCACATGTCACAGGGCGCCTCGATTATTAATGCCGGGTAGAACATCCAACAGCCCTTGGTCTATGGACTGTACTGTGTATGCAGAATGTAATACTGACCCGGCGGCAGTTACATGTCCTACTCAGCATAAATAATCGAGGTGCCCTGTGACTGGCTGTTCTGATCCCGGATGCGATGTTGTCCCCGCATATGATACGTGAGTACGTTCAATGCAACGCATTACCAGTTCGTTCATTCGTGCGTATCTGCTTTAGTTTCACGGAACCCACTGTGGCAGATCCTCGAAGGTTTAATACAGTAAAAAAATAAAATTAATTGAAATAGAAAACACATCAAAGTTGGCGACCTCGAGCCGGCCTCGACCAATTCGTCGAGGCCGGAAGGCTCCGAGGCCAAGGCCAAGGCCTTGCACTCCGAGGCCAAGGCCGAGGCCGAGAAAATCAGCCTCGAGGCCGGCCTCAAGGCCGAGGCCGGCCTCGAGACCTCCAACACTGCATATTTTTAAAGTTTTCTATAATTTGGGTCCAGATCATTCCAACTCACCCTGTACTGAAATTTTTGTGAAGTTTACCTAATAGCAAAAGCGGTGAGTTTGAACAAGACAAAAATGTTGAAAACAAACAACGGGTGCCCCATTGAATAGATGACAATGGATAGTTTTTGTGAGGTAATGTGTCAGGCTGATAGCATACACAGGAAATTGTAGGAGATTAATAACCTGACAGCCTCCAACTTGTAGATCATTAAAACATAATTGCTATAAACATGTACAGAGAAATAGAGTTCATAGAAACTTTATTTCTATTACAAACGATGCTTATCATACCGGTATTAAATTTTAATTAGTCTCAATGTTATTTGGATAAGAGATGTCTTACTTTGCTCCCTTGCTCAGCCATTTATCATACTGGGACTTGCAGGCCATACTGCAGAATTTCTTCTTGTGGTTACCATACATACGTTCCACTCTACTACGACAGGTCTGTGCACAATAATCACACACAGTGCAGCGCAGCCCTAATCGCTGTGCAAACTGTTGTTTGTATAGTAACTTGCACCCTGAAACCAAGCAAAATAATTGATTATGATTAGATTTAACTGTGAAAGTGAGGTCTCAGAATGCCAGTTTTGATCCTCATGATATACCTGCAGGTTTATACTTTAGTCATATACTTCTGCTTGGCCACATTCCAAGATAATTCATTTGCAACAATGTCAATCAAGAGTGATATAAAAGATTCATTCCTGAAATTGAATCTTCATAATACCTGTACATGTAAATGTAATATCACACTCAATCAAACAAGCCGTTTCACTCCCAACTTGTGTACATTGTCTCCGTGCATGAACATAGGGGGAGCTCAAGTGGGAGGGACACACCATCCATGCACACCAGGACACACCATATGCGCTCACTGAGACACACCATCTGCGCACACTGGAACACACCATTTGTGCACACTGGCATCTTTGTCCGAGCATCAGGCTCCAAAGGCAATGCATTAAAGATTTCCTCATGGCCGTCCCTCCGCAATTTGTCTTAGTAATCTTTGAGGGGGCATATGTGCATAGAGTCCATTATCTAGACCAGTACGACTTATTTCTAAAAACAGTCCACGAATGCTTTGTGCCATGTTAGTCTGTCAAAAAATTACTTGTCGTAAGAAAAACAAGACAAAAATGCAACAAACAATAGAAAAAGTGAAAAACAGGTGGGAACACATATTTCAGGGGGTCACATCTTGAATTTGAGTTGGCTGCTAAAATTCACGTTCATGAGAACCAAACAAATTTATTTTAAAAAAACCTTTCATTCAAATCTGAGACAGTTACCTGACAACTTCTCAAAAATGTAGGATAGTTGGCATACATGTAGAATGACCCTCCAGCCCATCAGCTTCCCTGGTCAAGTGGTTTTAGGTTTTTCTTTTGCAATGAGTGGGGTGTTGATTGCAGTGGCATGATTTCAGCTGGGACACTTCAATATTTGTTGACTGACATTAAACCAGTTCCAGTACTTTGTATGAGAAATCAAAACTATGATGTACATCATTGCAGGTAACTGGTCTAGGATCATTGACACCAGGACATTTGTGGCATTGATCTCTCTCATAAAATCTTCGCGACAGTGCCCCTTCTCGGTCCTGGGGTCTGTGCAGCATGTATTGATTAAATGTGCAGTCGACATGTAGCATGTACCTGTTGTCAATAAGCGTCACTTTACTATACCTATAGCATTCAGAATTGTGCCAAAAAAGTAGGCTGATCAACTAATAGTTTATTTGTTGAAGCCTTGGTGCAAAGTTAAATTGGTTGCCAGAAAAAATGAGTTTGGGTGTCTGAACCCTATAAAACTTAAAACAAATTTAGAGTGTGGATTTCAATAGGTTGAGTGTTATAAGGTATAACTGTGCCTTATCTGTGCTAAATTGAAGACTGGGACTAACCTTCACTACAAAAGCTGCGTGCCTGGCCTGAGAAGTAAATGCACTCCTGTAGAATCTTCTCTAGATGGCAATAATCACACTCAACAACAACAGAGTTTACCTGGGCACAACAGTGGAAATATTTAGTTAAATTGACAATTTTACACAAATAGAACCAAAAAAAAATGACCGAAACATATTAATGGAGACTAAGATTACCCTACACTGAATGTCTTGATCTTTCAATGAATTCATGTAACCACAAATTTTCACAACTATCAGACCTTAACTTTGATGCCGTCCTGTCATCCTTTTTTTAAAACTTTTTTACGTACGTATCTCTACATGTATGTATCTCGACGTACAAAGTTTCAACATAAACTGCCTAGTAACTCTTTTTAAGAGACCCTCAAAATGCACCTTTAAATTAATGTCACGTGATACAAGAAAATGTCATTATGGCATATCTTGACTTGTAAGTGTATGCATGTTTAAACATTGTAATTGAAATGATTGGATTAAGTGCAAAAAGTGGGGTGCAGAATAAAAACATGTACAAATTTTATGGAGGAAATAAAGTAGAAAAGAACCAAATATATAAATAAAAACAAAAACGGGGGTTGTTTTTGGCAAGTGTGCCCAATTGCCAATAAAAAAAAATTAATTACATACCCTCTTAAATTCGTCCAAGCAATTTTGTGCACAGAAAACATTGACAACACCTTTAAATTCCAAAGGCAGTGGTTTGTTGGAGAACCCTTGGAGGCATTGACTACATGTTAGCTGTAAAGTCTCCTGTGGTAGAGTGACAGGCGGCACATTGAACTGGGCTTGAAATGCAATCACACAGCCATAGGTGCAGAAGTTACGAATGCTATTATCTGACATAGTCAGATGATATTGAGGACGTTGCTGCTTGGAACAATGGTCACACTTGTTACCACTGGCTGAAGTTGGACGTGTACTGCTACCTTGTGAGGTCTGTTGGAAGAAAAGACAACTTTAAGCTTTTTGTTCTTGACTTTTTGGTGCCCAGATTATTGGTTGAGATACACAGATTATGTTTCTAGGATAGTTGCTAGTGACCACCCTGTGCACCAACTTTAACTAGTAAGTATACAACAAAACAATTTAGGAGTGTTTGACCAAACTTTTTGTTAACACTGATGATAATTCAGGGGTGAGATTTGAGGAAAACGAAAAATCCACGCGTCCGCGGCCAAAGCGACCCTAAGTAAGATTTGCGGTGTCTTTATTGGCTTTTTAAAAGGAAGGAGCTTGGGGAACTAAGCCACCAATAGAGCTGTTCTTACTTTGGGATATGTAACATTTATTGCAACAGAACCCTTAATAGGGTCAGTGGGTCGGATTTTGTTTTGTTTTTGGGCCAATTTTTTGTGTGCTGATTGAATGTGGTACAAATGTATGTGAATTTCAGCCATAACTATTGCCATGGCACTACGAGAGGCTATACAACAAATAGCCACAAAAAGTGATTAAAGCTTACCTTAATTATTGTTTAAGTATTTACGGTCGATAATTCTTAAAAATAATGGAAAATTCAGGTCGTGCACATATTATGCACAACGTTAGTCAAGACGGGAAACTGTCCAATACTGTCCGTACATTGTACGGTATAGCGTGCGTGATGCATGTGTGTGGCGGGTGTCGAACCTCGTTTTTACGATACGACCTCGAACTAAATTCGTGAACACGGAAAATACATTCACAGACAAGATAGACCAAGTTCTGTGAATTTACTTGCAAAAATGTTTTTTCTCCACTGGTGTTTTCTTGGCATTTTTACGATGTCTAATCTGACCGCACCACGGCCATGCATCCACAGCCTAGTTACCGCATTTCCATCATGCCTAGCCTTCTTTGGCCCTTTGCAGGCGCGGCAGGAACCATGCAGTTATCGCAGTACACAGTGAACAGAATTAACTGACACCACACACACACACACCGAGTACAGCACTGGATCGTCTCACAGAAATTCCGGAATTCCAGAAAAATCCGGACAAATCTCACCCCTGATAATTTGACGATAAATCTTTTGACAAGGGACCATACACATTCTACTAACAATGTTTTTTTTCTGGCAACCATGAAAGCACGTGCAGAAGTTTGATGTATTCTATTATGATTATTACGCTGTCAAATAAAATATTGATCATACATAAAAAAAATAAATGGAACAAGAGAAAACAACAGTATTATGTTAAGCGACCATTTCAATGGAAAATGCCAGTTGTTTTTTTCCCTCACTATTTTCAACTGTTCTCAGTTGAAAGCGCCAGACTTACATGTATGTGAGGTCTGACTTTGATTTTGCGTATTTTCCACATTGGGGAAACATTTTTAAAAGTTGTCGAACATTTTATTTTGTTGTGTCCCCTGCACAAAACATGACTTTGTATATATGAACATTTGCTGGCAAATGACCATCTACCGTATAAGAGAGCGGTTTGACCCCATACTGACCTCATTAGTACAGTGTCAATTTTCACCATAAAATTGAAAAAGGTACGCCCTTATCAAAGTATTTTGGATACTATCATTACGTACCGGATGTTGTAGATAACTGGATGACGATACATATGCCTAGATGATGCAGCAGATGCTGTTTCTTGGTACATGTATTGTCTCTAACTATACTTTGTGACTCCATGTATTTTACTGTTTTAGGAAATACTTTACATGGAAAACCCATGATTTGGATGATACTTGTGTTGATGTGCTTTTCTTGAAACCCATTTTTCTGCTCACAAACACATGCAAAATTAGGTGTAGACGATTACATAATGGTATTATTAGGTGTCTTTTACAAGCAAAAAAACAAACACATTCACACGAGTGTGAAAATACCTACAAAAGTGGATCTCTTGTCCTCTAGTCGTTATGCTTGATCTGATTTTTTTAGACTCAACTGGACATGAATAATATCATTTTGGGATAAATACCAAGATACTGTGCACTTTTGGTAAAATTTAATATTTAACTTGACCTCTTTTTTTTTTATCACCACAGGCCCAAACATTGGTATCCATACCTGTATTTGTGCAAAATAATACAGGTTACCAACAAAACTGAAGTAATTCTCTAGTTCTGAAATAGGTCACATGTTTTCCATTATCTTGAGTTTGCCAAATTTTGAGCAAAGTATATTTCTTTCTCATTTTTACCTGCATGGAAAATCTTGTTATTACAGGTTCGATTAAAATTGCCCAAAAGACATGTGAGAATTTATCTGCTCTGTTTATCTTTAAAGGGAAGATACAACATTTGCAAACATCAAAAAACGAAATGATCAAAGTTATCACGAAATATCTTACTGGATTGTTAGGGAATGACAGTCTCAAGCATCCTGTAAAGTTGTGGCTCCTGGTATGCTGGCATTTTCAAGAAAAACTGTATTTTTCCAACGCTGGTCGGCCGACCAGCGTTGGAGAAAACTTTTTTTTTTTCAAAAAGTGCTCCTAATTTTTCATATTTAGTTCGTCTGCATTTTCTTTGCAATTGATTACACACCTGTGAAGACTACAAGCCTGCTAGACTGATTCTATGATCTTACAATTCCCCAAAGTCCATAAATTGCTCCGTTTCATCTTAAGTGGGGTCAGGGAACCAGACTACAAGAATATGATTGGCTTTCTTGGTTTTTCAAGCATATACGAACCCGAGACGTGAAACAAGTCAGTGTAACAATATTTGCAATAACACACTAATCCTCCAAACCCATTTATTTCTGAAAATTGCAGCTAAAGCAAATGTTGTACATTCCCTTTAAGTGTAAACTGTCAAACCTTGAAGTACTATAAGTGCACAACTTGAATACTGAACTGGCTTAGTGTTACCTGTTGTGTTTGTTGAGGCTTCTGCAGTTTTAGAAATGGAGGCTGAGTCTTGACAGCAGGTTGCTGTATCAAGGGCTTACTGGTTGGCACAGCATTCTGGGAAGATGTAAAGGGGATGGTATCTCTTTTGCTGAGACATGCAGTTGAACAAAAGAAACGCACAAGTTCTGTTCCATTCCATTCCTCTATCATACTCTGTGCCCAATTAGGCTTCTGAAAAGTGAAAACAGTTAAAACAAGAAAAGTAGTGTTAAAAAACCCAAATGCCCCGCAACCATGCCTATTTCCATGACATAACACCACTCTATTAACATCAACTTACCTGGGTCACATGGAACGTTCATTGACATCGTTATTGTTTTCTTTAGGTTATATATGTAATGTATTGATGCCTATGATCCCATAATGAATTTTTAGCTGTTCCCAATTTCAATTGGGAACAGCTACTTTTTTGTTTAAGTTTTTTTTTCCCCTTTTTAGCTGTTCCTAATTTCAATTGGGAACAGCTTTTGTTTCCTTAAGTTTTTCTTTTCCCTTTTTTTTCTTTTTCTTCTTTTTCTTTTTCCACTTTTTCCCATAGGGTTTGTACACGTTTTAATTCTACAAGCCACTTTGAGAATTATTTTAAAACCGATCAACTTTAAACTCAGCATAGTCATCTGAAGATGTATGCCAAAACTTTTCATCATCATGACGTCATTATGGGTCATGTGACATCGATTTGAATGTTCGTTTTTTACAGTCTAATAAATATCAAACAATTGGACCGATTGGTCTGAAAATTGGTATGCATATAGTCAGGGAAGTGTTATAGATGAAAATTGATATCTAAAGGTCACGTGACGTTCACTTCCGGTTTTACCGGAAGTGGTAATTTTGGACCCCTATATCATATCTCATGAATTATTTATCTGATTGGGTTGAAACTTCACATTAATAGAAAGCTATATTGACAGATAAATATATTGCATTAATATTACTGTGCACTTAATTATTGTCATGTTATGACGTCATGAATATTTAATGAGGCAATCTTCACAGTCTTATAACTATAGAAGTATTTGACTGATTGATCTCAAACCTGGCAGGTATATAGACAGGGAAGTGTTATAGATGAAAATTGGTATGTCGAGGTCATGTGACCCCTACTTTTGGTCTTACCGGAAGTGTTGATTTTATACCCTAATTAGCATATCTAATGAATTATAAATTCGATTGGGTTGACACCTTATAATAGCATTGAGCAACATTAAAGGATAAATATGTTGCATTATTATCAGCTTAATGTTTTCATGTTATGACGTCATGAATATATAATGAGGCAATCTTAATAGTCCTTTAACTTTAAAACTATTTGACCGATTGATCTCAAACTTGTTAAGTATATAGACAGGGAAGTTTTAAAGTGAAAATGTGTATGTCAAGGTCATGTGACCCTTACTTCCATTTTTGCCGGAAGTGCAATTATGTAAGATTACAATTTCAATTTAAAAGTTAGAGATTTTTGAAAAAATCATTACACTATTTTCTACTGTCCAATAGACAATCAAAAACAAGTTGGGAACAGCTCTGTGGTTGTTCAGTTACAACCACATCTAGTTGGCTTTTTCACAAATTTGCAAAAAAGCCTTTCTTTTTGTTCTCATTTTTTTTTCTTTCCTCTTCTTCTTCTTCTTTTTGTCGCCTAAATCCCATAGACTTTGTACACGTTTTTTCTCAGTGCCACTTTTGGCATTAATCTTTGTCATACATCATTCAAAGTTACTACAGGCATAGTCCCTATGGCAGAGTTGTATGCCGAAGAGTGACGTCATCATGACATTACCATGGGTCACGTGACGTCATCACAAACGTGCATAATTTGAAGTCCTATATCTATAGAACTGTAAGTCCGATTTGGGTTGTAACTCGGTATGTAGGTAGACCGGGATGTGTTATAGGTAAAAATTGAGTAATTGATTCCCCCCCCCCCCCCCCACTTTCCCCATAGGTTCTGTACACGTTTTTATTCTACAAGCCAATTTGGGAATTATTTTAAATCCGATCAACTTTAAACTTGGCGTAGTCATTAACCATCATCTGAAGATGTATGCCGAAACTTTTCGTCATGCTGACGTCATCACGCGATTTATTATAGAATTTTGAATATTTAATATTTCCCATAGATTTTGTACACAGAAATTTTCAAAGGGCATTTTCGACTCTTTGCCAGTAATTCATTTACACCACTCTTTGTCCAAGCAAAGACTCTAATTCAAACAACATTGTGTAATGATGACATCATGATGACGTCATCCGGTGTTTATTTATAGACAATTAAATTGTGACACTTTTAATATTTAAAAATGCATAAGAAATCAACCATACGCGTCCGCAGCATTCTGTTGCCGGCAAGTGGTAGAGTAGGTTGAGATCTTTATTTCATTCAGTGTGCGTGCAATCACGTGACCCTTGCTTCCGGTCGAAAAAGGCCAAAACTGGAAGTGGCTTATTTTTTAAAAGTGGTAATAGATATGAACTTGCTTTCAACGGTGTTAGTCTCTTGGCTGATAGTATTCTTCAAATCATCTACCGATAACGTCATGCAATCTTCGAGCGCCCTCTAGCGACAGGATGCACATTTTCAAAAATGTATTTTGAATAGATGTCTGTTGCGAAGTTTGTCAGAATCGCCTAAATATTGGTGTATATTATGACCTTGACCCACTTTAGACGTGTGCGAAGTTTTAGGCGTATGACGTCATCAGACCGGAAGTTCCGTTGAAAAGACCTTTCCTTTTTCAAAAATTGCTAACAAATCAATTCGTACAGATATAATCTTGAATTGCCCATTAAATGATAGCGTAAACATTTGCCTCAACAGTGCCAAGTTTCCAGCTTGTTAAATTGTTCACACAGTTGACGCGGCGTCGGCAAAAAATACCCTTGCGCAAGTTGCGGCAGAGAAAGTAAAAAATGCCGACTCAACCAATGCAAGCCGCAAGTGTGTGCATGTATACATTGACCAGATTCAGCATCACCCGCTTCCAATACACCACACACGCACGAGGTCGTGAGGGAGCAGACCGACAAACAGGGCGACCGTTTTGGCCGAATTTCGGCTAAATTTGGCAGAATTTTTCGTAAAAAACAAGTTTGACAGAAAATTTGACAGAATGGATTTTTTTGGCAGATTTCTAACAGAATCTTCAAAAATGGTTATTTTCACAAGTACATAGCAAATTTGTGTATTGATAGACTCAATTTTTACAGCCTGATAACTATTGAACTATTTGAATGATTGATCTCAAATTTGGTAGGTATACAGAAAGGGAAGTGTTATAGATGAAAATTGATATGTCAAGGTCACGTGACCTTCCCTTCTGGTTTTAACGTAAGTGGTAATTTTAAACCCCTACCGGTATATCATATCTCATAAATTATTTATCTGATTGGGTTGAAACTTCACATTAATACAAAGCTATATTATAGATAATTATATTGCGTTATTATTACTGTGCAGTTTATTATTCTCATGTTATGACGTCATGAATATTTAATGAGGCAATATTGTGTTCGCCATATCTCCACAATACAATAAGTTATGATTACAGTTCTTTGCACATCTACTCATATTGGACTGAAAATGGCCCTCCTCGAATGTCGAGATCATGTGACCCCTACTTCCGGTTGTACCGGAAGTGCAATTTTGAAAGTAATGATTTAAATTTTATTATTACATTTTTTTAAAAAATTCATTAGACCTAAATCATTCTGTTTACGGTCCAATAGACAATCAAAACTGGGAACAGCTTTGTGGTTGTACCCAACCACAACCTCTAGTTGTTTTTTGCTTTTCTGTTTGGAAGTCATTGTATGTGATTTAAGCAAACTGACTGCATATTTTCAGTCTTAAGCAAGACATTTCTCAAGGGCAAATCCTTTGAGCATAATCCTTTGAGCATTTACAAGGCCTACATGGAAATATGGTTATTTGAATAAGCTTGAGTTATCATCATGACATCATTTCTTTGGTTTTTAATAATGAGAACAGTTGGCCTATGGGGTCCAAAAGTGACTCAAAATCCTAAGAACAACCCACGGAGCTGCATATACATGTTCATGTACTTTGGTGCAAGTCTCAAGTTTTAGTGTTACATGTACATGTGTTTGTTGAGAAAACTTTTTCTGTTGTTTCAATTAAAAATATGACTGTCCAAAAAAAAAAAGGGTGGAGAAGCCACACTGATAAATACAAAAACATGTTTAAACAGTGAACAGGCCACCTAATATTTTAGTGAGTGATTACATTTGCACATGTATACTGGTTTGGTAAAAAAAAAAAAAAAAATCAAAATCAAATAAATAAAATCCTATTGTTTTAATCCTGGCCTTTGTCTTATGGGGTCCAAACTTATTCATTTTCTATAAGTTATACTAGCAAGCTACCTTCATTGTATCAAGGTATACATGGACATACAATCCAGATATCCCTGTGGAACCAAATGCACACGCACACAGGCAAGCACGCACAACTCATACATAGTACTGCAATAGGCACACAAACACACATACACGTTTGTTTTACATACGCTGTGTGGACATTCCTTTGTTTTCGTGTAGTTAAGAAAACTCGGTACAAAAAATAACTTTACTTAAACTGTGAAAACTCTTTCAACCCAATTTTTTTTCTATGATTCCCTATAGTGTTTCTCTTCATTCTACTATGGATAAACCTAACCCCAAAATGCCTCTAAACCTGTTTTCCAGAGAGGGTGAAACGTTATGTGGACACAGCTTAGTCCACATAACGTCAACACAACCTGCATTATGTGGACATCTTTTGTTCACAAGTCCACATAGTGAATGTAAGACAAACTCACACACATGCACACGCACACACATGGACGGACAAGGCGGAAACAGTATGCCCCTTCGGCTTCGCCGGCGGGGCATAAAAACGTTGTTGTTACTGCCATGGTATAGATATAGGCCATCAGCCTGGGGTTTGGTCGGTATCAAATGAGGAGAATAATGCTCATTGTGATTTTTGGCACGGTATACACCCCTGTAGTTGGAAAATATGTGATAGCAGTGCGGCGGTGGCAGCTTTTTGGGTGCTATCACTTTTTTACAAAAAAATGGTGGCCAAAACATATTTGTTACTGCATATAATTCATTCGGTAACAAGCATATTGGCGGCCATTTTGAAAGAAAACAAATGAAAAGTGATAACACCCAAAAAACTGCCACCACTCAAACTGCAAAGCTATCACACATTTTCCAACTCTAGATGCCATAATTTTTGGAACGAAGCTGATAGTCTAATAGTGACAACATTTATTTAGAAACATTCAACATTTGAAATGTTGACTCATTTGAAAATGGTACTCTTTGGAAATGTCCTTACTTGCAGTACACAGAAAGGACGTGCCAAGGGCCGTCTCTCTTTTAACTCAGTAGTCTCCTTACAGTGAAACAGCAACAACCTACATGTATATGAACCTATCTCTCTGCCTTTAAAACAAAACCTCACAATAACACTTGCATTTTGCACGTAAAAATAAGTTGCCAAAGAAAATGACTACCTAAAATACAACCACCGTACTTTTAATTTATAAAAAACCCACACTTTTTATGTGGACATATTCCATTTGACTGGCACACCACTCATATGAAAGGTCATGTTTTCCCCTTTAATTTGATGCATTTGCTTGGAATTGCCAATAAAGATAAATGACTCCTTTGTTTAGGGAATATCATGACCATGACGTACACAGGCATGCAAATGGGAATTTAGGGGGAAAATGGAAAAATTCAAAACAACACAAACTTTGTACAGTATTTTTCAATTTGTCATGGCATTCATGAGAAGTAAAAAAATGAGAAATCAGTGGCTCTGGGGAAAAGTTGCATGCCTGCATACATGTAAGTCGATTCAAGTTACAAGTACCCAGTAGGCCATAAAGAAATCAGTTACATGCTCATGTATACCAGAGAAAAATTATAATGTAAATGTATGAGAACGAAACAAATATAAGAGTAATGGTACCTTGCAGGCAGCACACGTTATTGTGCTCATGGAACGTTTGAGTTTCATCTTGAAACACCTCATGCTACAAAAGCGGTGTATTTTGCCCTCTATCTCAATACTTCTCATCATCTTCGGATTTGAGCAGAGAGCACTACATTGGCTGCAAAGTGAGAATGCTAACTGGTTCTTTTCTTTGAACTTTGTGAAGCAGTCAGTGGAGCATAGCCCATTCAGTTTGCCCTGTAGACTGATCACATGCTTGGCCTACAAACAAACAAAGTTAAATTTCAAGTATTAAGTTCTTAACCTCTGTGAACAGACATAATGTATTGTACATAACAAAACACAAACAGTGGGTTATTTCTATTGGACTTTACTGATTGCGTTGTGAGCAACACCTTTTGTTGCAACCGTAATAATTAGTTGGATTCATCAGACTAACACTTTGCTGTTGGATTATGTTAATTTAAACAGAAATAGTGAAATAGTACAAAGCGGACATGAGGTAGGACTTTTGAGACCAGCATAAAATTGTCTTTTAGTGAACAACTAAACTAAAAGCTAATTTGATGACAATAAGGCTTGGATGTGCTAAAGGGATTACTTCCAAACATAAGTGCCACCCCTGAGTATGCCTAACCATAATGTCCACCCATCCAGAGTGTTTGATCAATTATGGGTTGAATATTTTTAGCTTATTGATTGTGTTACATTGATCAATTATTATGTATGAATCATTCCCCCCCCCGAAAAATGCCAATATCAAATTTGGAAAAGTTTTCTTATTCTGAATTCTGATGATAACCAATAACTTTTTATGAAGGCGCTGTGATCATTTCATATACCGTACCTTGGCATAGTTACTGCAGATGGCACAAATGAAGAATGTGTCTTGAGCCCAATACTTGGGCTGACCACCATCCTGTTTGCCTGCAACCTGCTGACCAACTGAAGGCTTCTTTCCATAGTTGTCGACACATTCTTGCTTACAGAAGTCAACAAACTTGCCTCCTGAACCAACTGGAGCAAGAATACCCTCAGAGGCCTTGGAGATCTCTTTACCACAAGTGTTACAGTTCTAAAAATGACAAAAAAAGTGGATTCAAGAACACGTAATTGCACAAGAGTATTGGATGACCTAACAAATTTAGGAGTAATGCTATTGTGCATGAAATCATATGCTGTTAAATATGATAGCATAAAAACTCCCCGATCAGTATTTGACTAAGAAAATGACCTTTTAGTGGAATACGTTTACAAAAATGCCAATGTTAGATAATATGCACAAATATAACTAATAGATATGTCAGTAAATAGAAATAAGGACTTTATTTTTGTTCTCTTAAAAGTTATTTCAACATAAAATTAAATATTTAATTTTGAAAGAAACTAAATTTAAAAGCTGTATTGTTTTCATCATTATCAATGCCACGTTTAAATATGGCAATATAAAAGAACAACCCCCAAATATTTTCTTAAGACTGCTCTTTTCCCATTGAAATGCCCTTTTTGCCCAGCGCTTACTCCCCCCCCCCCCCAATGGTTTTGTAGGAGTGCCCCCCCTTTTTTTTTTTACTGAACAAGTTCCCTTTTTCAAAAAGAATTGGTGCCCTTGTTGTGGCAGCTGCCGTTCGGGTTCCTTTTGTTTTTAATTTGATGCGTATATCACCCTGAATAGCCTCATATATTGTCCGTTAGTGTGAATAATGCAGCGCCCCCACCGACAGATGGTACCATCCCCCCCCCCTCGCTTTTTGATTTTACGGAGACCTAGTGTCTGGGAAAATAACGTGCTTACATTTTACCACAAATGTGCAAGTGCCCTTTTGAAAAATGTGTACCCCCCCCCAATCAAAATGACCGTGCTACGCCACTGTGGATGATTTCAGTTCTTACCCTAACTCTCTTGGAAAACTCTTCAGAGCAGGGTTGAGAACAGAACTGCTTCTGTCCTTCTTGTGTCTCCCTCACAAACTTCTGTGTTGCTGCTTGAGTGATCATACCACAGCAGTAGTCACACACTAATGTCTGTCGACCTTGGTGATTGTCAAGACAGACTTGAGAACAGAAGCTTTGATTTGAAGCAACTAACATGATTGTGTCATCCACAACAAGACTGCACTCAGCACAGTAGGTAGTCTTCTTTTCAGACGCCTCCTACACAAATCACAGAAGTTTGCTATCAATATCACGATCACAAAATCACCAAATCATGACCATGTAGCCTATATAAGCGATTCCAAGGTTATTCACGTTACACTTTTTTGTATCCTTTAAACATTCTGAGTGCTGTGATCTTCATACTGCATGTAGTTGGACTAAATGTACTTCTTTCCTCTTTAGCATACATGTAAACTTACCCAATATTCAAAACTTTTTCCCAATGACAACAAAGAAGTTGTATATTAGTGAAGGTTTACAGTAACACTATGTGGAAGAATCTCTTATGAGAAGATGTGTGGTTCTGAAAAGAACCGATTGGTAGTGAAACTCAACGTTCTGATCAGTATGCTCTGACTGTGTTCATGAAGACGATGACTTCATAAAGACAATCAGAGCATACTGATCGGAACATCGAGTTTCACCACCAACCTGTTCTTTTCAGGACCACACATCTTCTCAAAAGAGATTGTTACTACAAACCCTCACTAGTTTACACTACTGCCATGCAAACTTTCATATCTTACAGAGCCTGAAAGTACACAATTTTGTCTTTGAGCTTCTGGACCCCGCCGCGACCCTTTTTCTAAAGGCATTTTACACGGGGTTGCCTTTTCTCCTGCTATATTTTTTGACTGAATGATTTCTTACAGTCATTATGATTATCACACCAAGAAACATGCACGTTGGAATTTTATCTTGGCCTTCCACAAGAAAAAATAATGCAAGCAGGCCTCGACCTTGAGCTTTCTTTCACTAGCCCACCGGGCAAGTTAACCAAGTGTTTTACTAGCCCGCAGGATTTTTTAACTAGCCCACTGGATATTTTTGATTATATAACCGACATACAGATCCTTGTCATTTGATTGGTGGAACTCACATCACGTGTCATTATTTATTACTGCCATTCACGCCGGGGTTCAAAAAGTCCCATTCGCCCATGGGGAATGGGAAATACTATTCAACAGTTAGGATCATGATGCGGTATTTGTGTGCAAATGCATGCTGGTGTGCACGTTCAGCGTTGCGCGTAGCGCATATTGTTCCAATTGTTCCAAAATGTTGGGTTCAAACATTTTCGTGAAGGGGTGGTTTGGAAAAGAGAAATACATTTTTCACCAATTTCCTATTGAAATAAAAGTTCAAATATATCAAATGACAAGGATCTATATGTCAATTATATAAAACAAATATTGAGTGGCTTTAAATTGTGAAATGGGAGGAATATTATCGCTCGGTAAAATCTGGACTTTTCCAGTTCACTCGGCTTCGTCTCGTGAAATGGAAACGTCCAGATTTTACCTTGCGATAATATTCCTCCCATTCCACGCTGATCCACTTAATATTTGTATACTGTAACATGTAAGGCTCATTTAATGACAACTTTGTAACAAGTCTTGTTAAATAAATGATTTTCAAACTACGAAAGGGAGACACTGGCAATAGTAATAAAAAAGGTTTTCCATTAGAATTTAGAAATCACTGTCGCTGGTTGTAGAGTCTGGATCATTTGCTGATGGCTCTGCCTCATCATGTGTGTCGTCATAATCATCTTATGTGTCGTCGTAATCATCAAGCTCAGGATCTGAAGTTGGATGTCTGATAAATGAAACCTTGTTGCACCTCACTTAGTTTAAATCAACGATCATTCTTTTCTTTTTGTAAGGTTTGCGTTTTTATTAAGGTACGCATTTTGTCTTTTGATGTTTCAATTTCGATCTCCATTTTTTTCATTTTATTTTGGAAAGAGATGGTTTCTGGTGTGCACTATGCCTATGCCTATTCCGATCCTTCCTCCATGCTTTATTTTGTCATTATTTTTTTTGTTAATCAATATTAAGTACGAGTAGAACAAATTTTACATTGAACTCAAATTTGAAATCAGTGTAAATATATTTAATCTTAGTAAAATTAAAAATTACATTGCAACTCGCAGCTAAACTGTAGTTAATGACTATGAAAGGTTTCTCCCCTTTTTTGCATGCATAATTTGCACTTTTTTTGCCCTTAATTATTTACCGAGAAATTGTGTAAGGCCCCCCCCCCCCAAAAAAAAATTCTGCTTACGGTTACCCGACCGACCCTATTTTTAGGCCGCGACCCTAAAAATGTTATCGGCAATTCCAAAAAAAAATTAAAAAAATTAATGATTGAAGTTTTGAATAAATAAAAATCTTATTGTCATTTCTGTCTACACAAAATACCTCTCAACAACCCTTTTGCGTAAAAAATGCTTGTATTTATTTGTTTTCTTACTTACATTCACTGATTTTTCAAAAGAAACCTCAGTTGCTTTTACAAATTCGCTACGCGATAACTACTTCGCCAGGCCTGCTACTTCGCAATTTGATGTCGCGGTGACACGTGTGTAATGCTAGCGGGTCATTCCGTGTCAATACAACACGATTTTGGACCCGACCCTCACAGATTGAAACGGTATTTGGTGTGATGATTGGCCTATATGAGAAACCCCCAGAACTGATTTTTTGTAAATTGGCTCGTTAGTTTTTGAGATATGGGTCAACGAACTTTTGACTAATTAGCATGACATCCGGACTTTAAATACTTGTATCTCAAAATCTATAGTGCCTACAAAGCCAAGTTGTACATCATGTACATCATATTAAAGCTCTTTGAATGGCCTCCATTTTCATAAAATAAAAACAAAATTGTAGCATGAAGTGCAGAGAAAATGCGTAACGAAATGACCTTTGACCTTGAATTACGAAAATCAGTATGCTTTAAATTTCATAATTTTTTCCAAATGTTAGTTTATGATGTTAGCAACAATCTTTAAAAAAAATTAGGATGGGCGCTCTTAAAGTTTTTAAGTTATGACTTTTTAAAGATAGCATGTCTACGAAAAACCTAATTTGCATATATTTACACACGTACTTGTATACAGCAAGTGCATGTTGACCTGTAAAAACTTGTCCCTGACAGCCCTAATGTTATGTTTCAAATGTTTATACCGGTATACAGCATCTTGCCAGCTCTAGATAGTTTTGGCTTAAATAAAAATCCATCCCAAGCAAGCTTTAACAAAACCGTCAGCAGATCGGCGACAAGACAAATTGTGACGTTTGGCATCCGACAGAAAATACATCAGTGATTGCAATTTCAACACGGTACAACACAATTTGAAGCAGGCACTGTAATTTCTCATACAAAAACAAGTCAGGTGTTTACAAACACAAATGCCCCACAACCGTGACTGTTCCCATGACCTAACACCACTCTTTTAACATCAACTTACATGTACATGTACTTTGGTCACATGGAACGTTCATTGACATCATTAGTGTTTTCTGTAGGTTTTATATGAATTAATCCCTATGATCTCAGAATAAATACAAGATTTCTATTGTTTTAGCCACTGTGACCTTGACCCTCGACATTTCGGCCCCAAATGCAATAGGCTTCTTAGGATTACCAAGAACAATCCACAAACCAAATTTGAAGTTCATATGTAAGTATTTCTCAAGTTATCACGCTGACAAGATTTGTCTGGACACACACACCCACCCACCCACGTGTGTAAATGCTGGCAATCGTGGACGCCCCATTGTCCCTAATCCTCTTTCCTTTGTACTAACTTTTTAGCGACAGCTCTCATTGGTTTTGTACACGATTTGAGATCGTGGACGTTCGGTCAATCGTGGACGTATTGTTTGCGCCCACATTCTTTTGTCCTACCGGTACGTCCACGATTGCCGGTGTTTACATACTCACACACACACATCCACCCACCCACGGAAGGACAAGGCGGGAACAGTATGCCCCTTTGGCTTCGCCATGGGGCATAAAAGTATAGGCATTGTCTTTTTTTATACAAAAAAATATACCGTAATAATAGATAACAGCGTTGAGAGATACTGACATCGTATCGGAATCGCTGGCGAACTAAAAAATTCCCTGCATGTGCTTCGGAAAGCAACACATGCACACCGCGCTTCAATAAGAAACACATGCACACACACTGCGATCTGTCTTGTCGGGACTTTTCTTGAGCAATGAAGGGCTTTGTGACAATAAGTGCTGATTGTGTTTGTCATTAAAGCAAACAGGTCCCTTTTCAGTTCCAATCTTCTCAGATTTCTAATTTCAACAAATGTTGTAAGTTGTAAAATGTCAAAAAACTCAATTTAGATCGCGAGTTCGTGACTTTCTAAAAAATAATGTGAAATCAGTTGGAGATGGGTAAAAACAAATTTTACTTACGACTTTTCACATCTGGATTTTTGTACCTAGGTCTCCTTGTTTGATCACGTTAGTTTTCACATCGGGTACTTGCGTGAGAACAAAAATGATAACGATGCAAGGATTTACCCACCTACATCCGATGGATTCTAGATTTAGTCGGGCTTGCTTGAATACATTCCATATCAACGGTCATTTTAGATTTGTTTGTTAAAAAAAATGTCTCCCATTTTAGTTTCAGTTTTTACCCAATGTCCACCACAAAATTATTTCATAAATTTTCATCGTTGTATGAGTGCTCCGAGTTCTACTAGTCCACATGTATTTGAGATTTTCAGAAGTGAGAGGTCAATTTTTGGCACACTTTTTCTCTTTCACGTCATGCCATTTTTCAGTTTCCATAAATTGAGATGCTTGTAACAATTTTACAAAGGCCTTTACCGAGGATGATTTTCTTAAGAAATCAACATGCCAAAAATAAATTTAAAAACTTTTGACTTTACACGCTAATTTTCCCATTCGAGGGGTCCAGAAGCATGCCACCAGGGGTCAACTTTAGGCTCTATTTAAGTTGTCTATTCCCTCATTTGAACATGGCACTCTTTGGAAATATGTGGTTACTCGCATTACCCAAAGAGGACATGCCAAAAACTGTCTTTGTTTCAATGTAGTAATTTCCTAATAGAGTGAAAATGCAATAACTGAATGAGTACTTGAACAGAATGACTACCCTACTGAAGTATCAATGTGGACAAAAAAAAAGATATACATGTATGGAGATGATAGAAAGGAAAAGG